TGCCAGCCCGCTCAGAGATGTGTATAAGAGACAGCCCTTCTATGCATGTGATATATTTAAGAGGAGAAGTAAAAGGCCATAATCACTAACAATTTGCATTTCTTATGTTAGGAATTAAATATGCCTCTACTAAAAGTAGCAGGACCCGAGCTTGTGACTGGAGTATCTGGCGAAAGCGAAGCTCGTATCAGGGATTTATTTGAACAAGCTTTAGTTCTTGCACCGTGCATTGTTTTCTTGGATGAGATAGATGCTGTCACACCAAATAGAGCTACAGCTCAAAGAGAAATGGAAAGAAGAATTGTTGCACAATTATTGTCAAGTTTAGATGGTAAGGTATTAATGTGTTTTCATTATTGTTTCATATTTTACACATTTTTTCCTCAACCCATGAATTACATTTTTTCTTTCTCTGTTTTTTTTTCTTGTTAGAATTAAATCTTAACGAAAATGGAGACAGAGTACTGGTAATTGGTGCGACAAATCGACCTGATTCATTAGATCCTGCTTTAAGAAGAGCGGGACGTTTCGATCGTGAAGTGTGCCTTGGAATACCAGATAGAGAAGCAAGGGCTAGGATCTTAGCGGTGCATACCGAAAAAGTTGTATTGGCTTCTAATGTTAGTTTGTCAACAATAGCTTCTCTTACTCCAGGTTTTGTAGGTGCAGATTTAGTTGCTTTAATTAGGGAAGCAGCCATGGTTGCTGTAGATAGGTAAGTCTTTTCGCTTAAAATTTTTATACATATGCGCGCAGCACGCACGCACGTACGTACGTACGTACGTATATATGCTGCATATGTATTGTAAGCAATATACATATAATAATTTTTGTAGAGTATTTGAGGATTTCAATAAATCAAAACGAGAAGAAAAGTCATCTGAAGTCGAGAAACAACCAGATAAGAAAGTTAAAATTCCCGAAAACTCGGAAAATTTAATTGACACTAGTGTTGCGGCAGAAACTCCTACCACAGTTGGGAACGATCTTACGTTTGCACAAGAATTACCTAAAAGTCCAATTCCAGGAATTGCCGAAATGGATGTAACACAGGAACATTCAGCAGACTTGTCAACTTTATTGACTTGGCTGCGTACCGAACCTCCACTTTCTCCAGCACGTCTATCGACCCTATGCATCGAGCACAATGATTTTGAGATTGCTCTACGCATCGTTCAACCTTCAGCGAAAAGAGAAGGATTTGCGACGGTTCCCGGTGTAACATGGGACGATGTTGGCTCACTGCGAAATATACGACAAGAATTGCAGATGGCAATTCTCGTGAGTATATATGTTTTTATCACTGACTATGCTTTCCATCTCACGTAAAAGGATAGCTTCTATGCTATATGTTAATCTTATAACATTTATTTCCAAATTGAGTTATTATTCACTATTTGTACTCTTTCACTCGCAAACTTTGATTCTGCAATTTTGTTAATAAATAAATATAAATAAATAAAATCAATACACGGTTACGGGTCAGATACACACACACACACACACTCACACACACACTCACACACACACACACACACACACACACACACACACGTATATAGAAGATGCGGATGTTCGGTCGAACCGCTGCATGCGAGTGAGTTGAATCAATGAAATGAGATAGCAACATTTCTCGAGGAGACTCGAAGCTCAATTTGATCAATCACAAATATTTTTGTCAATTTCAATTAAAGTTAATTATTCCTCTAAAGATTTCGACATTTTAAAGAAAAGCGTTCTCACACTATCGCGAATCAATACAGGAAAATACAGAAAAAAATCTCTGCACTTTATTTACATTGAGTAGGCCGCGCTCCAGTCGAGATAGATGTCATCAGATATCATATTCGGATAGATCGGGCTTCAAGTCTTATCGAGAAATGCTGCTATCTCATTTCAGCGAGCATCCGATTAACTCCCACGCAGCGGTTCTCCGCACGCGCTTCAGCATCGTGCCCGAACATATCCGCACCCTATTATATATACGATAATATTCATTATCCAAAGCAAGATCCGAACAATGATTAAAGCCTTTTGAATGTTGTTTTACGAAATTTTCGGCACATGTATATATAACATTATTTATTTATTGCAGGCTCCTGTCAAACACTCTGAACACTTTAATACATTAGGTTTAACAGCTGCCAGCGGAGTATTGTTGTGCGGTCCGCCTGGATGTGGGAAAACGTTGCTGGCAAAAGCCATCGCCAATGAAGCTGGAATTAATTTTATTTCCGTTAAAGGACCAGAGCTTTTAAATATGGCAAGTTTCATTGTTAGTAGTATTGTATTATACTTGAAAATGTGCGAGTCTAATAATTTTATATATTTTTAGTACGTTGGCGAAAGTGAGAAAGCAGTTCGTCAATGTTTCTTAAGAGCAAGAAATTCAATGCCGTGCGTCATATTTTTTGATGAGATAGATGCGTTGTGTCCTAAGAGAACAGAGGGCGATAATTCTGCGACAGCGCGCGTTGTTAATCAAATGCTTACAGAAATGGACGGTGTAGAGGGTCGGCAAGGGGTGTTCCTTATGGCGGCTAGTAATCGACCTGACATTATAGATCCAGCTGTTTTGAGGCCAGGAAGATTGGATAAAATATTATATGTTGGTCTTCCGAATGCTTCAGATAGGGTCGACATTTTACGTGCAGTAACAAAGGTATTAACACACATTAATACGGCTCGTGCACGAACGTTTAAACAGAGAGAAGGAATGAATTAGTTATTAAAATAACGCTATTAAAATAAAATAAAAAATGGTATTTTCTCTGATGATTTAATATATTGATATTAGTAATATAATTTGTAGAATGCAACGAGACCAAAACTTGCTTCAGACGTCGATTTGAATCAAGTGGCATACGACAATAGATGTGAAGGTTACACTGGTGCCGATTTAGCAGCTTTGATTAGAGAAGCTGGTATGGAAGCATTGAAGGAAATAATAGCTGGATATGGCCAACCAGAAATTTCGATGAGACATATTTTTCAGGCGTTTGACAAAGTACAACCGTCCGTTCGTGAGAAGGCACGTATTCATTTGATTTATTGTGCAAATCTTTTTCTATATTATTTATATATATAAGATAAAACAAATAATACAGAAGTAATATGTAAATTCTGCAGGATATTAAACATTACGAAAAGTTGAGCAAATTATATTCGGCTAGAAAAAACCCTGAAACTACGCCAATGGATACACCAGTAGATGCACCAATTGTTGACGTAGTCATGGAGCCAATGGAAACTTAAAGTACAACTACTAAAAGCCTATAAGAATCGCCTGAAAAACTCTTCCAGTACCAAAATTCACGTAAACTTTTACAGAAAAGACGAAAGGCGCTTTTCTTTTTAATAGTGCAGTTTTGTTTCTATGCATTTATATTTCATATTAAAAGAAACATATTTCTAACATTGGCTACATGATTTGAACCGATGATTTATTAGTTAATTATTATTATTATTGTTTAAAGATATTCAGTTAATAATATAGTCGATTAAAGTATCTCATTTTCTGTTTATGAATGGCGTGTGCGTGCGTGCGTGCGTGCGTGCGTGCGTGCAGCATGTTAAAGGATCTACAAGATTTTCATCAGTCAACAAAATTGTTTTATTTAACATTTAATGATGTTTAACAATTCTTTTTTTATAAATTGTATGTGTAGATTAATTATGTACGCAAATAAATGTGTTTTAGGATAAAATCTTGAGTTTTGTTATACTGTACCTAAAATATTTTCAATAATATAGCAATTGTGTAAAATATATTTGTATGCTGTATCTAAAATATATTAATAATGTAGCAATTGTGGCGCAGAGAGACATGTGTCTACTTTGTAAGTTTTCTCTCTCTCTCTCTCTCTCTCTCTCTCTCTCTCTCATCTACGTAAAACACACAAAACAGATTACATGTCTCTAAAAGAATCGAGACGTATGTTTAAATAAAAACATAAAAAGTAGGTAATAAAATTATCGCGCGATGCATTTCGTATTGTGGGTTGCGATCCACTTAACGCTACAAATGTTTTGAATGTGACGATTCAGAAGAAAGAATATGATTGACCAATAAAAAAAAAGCTTAATATGCGAAATATTTGTAGCATGGATTGTATCAAGTGAACCATTAGCCTGTGTAAATAAAAGATCGCTTCTTATTTAAGAAAGATTAAGCTAAAACTTATTAGATACATGTCCCAAAATTATCTGCATGTGCATAGAGTATTTACAATATATAATAATCATAATATATATATAAACATTGATAATAATATACATTGTCACATTTCTCTTTAATTATCGAGTGTAAAATTACAATAAATTTATTGACTATACTATACATGCACAACTGCAACATATATTTGAGAGAAAGTCTTTAAGGAATAAAATTACATGGTTTACGATTAAAGATTTTATGTCTTATCTATTTTTTGCAATTGTTTACAATCCATGGATGTGCAAGAACGCCGTCCATATCCAATCTCTTTTCAGGATCGATAACTATCAACTGAAATATAATCGATAAAACCAAATTAACGAATGAAACATGAATAAAAACGTTAAATTAGCAACGCTCGGATTTGAGCCCCTTACCTTTGAAATTAAATCTCTTGCCCCTTCGCTAACAAAACTCGGAAAATTGTATCGCAATCTTCTTATATTTATATAAGTTTCATCGTTGGTTGTTGCATAGAAAGGAGGCTTGCCAACTAAGCATTCGTAACACAATACTCCAACACTCCAAAAATCGACTGTATGATTATGCGTTTTTCCAGATACCATTTCAGGCGGCAGGTAATCCAAAGTGCCGCATAGAGTGTCTCTTCGAGAGGAAGGAGCATGTACCGACCATCCAAAGTCGGCTATTTTTAATTCTCCATTCATTCCAAGCAATAAATTCTCAGGTTTAATGTCACGATGGATGACGCTCTTGCTGTGACAATATTTTAACGCGTCTGCTAACTGAGCTATATAATTGGCTGTTCTACAAGACAAGTATAGAGTCAATTAGTATGTAATCAATTTCAATTGCCTGCAAATTAAATAATTTTTCTGTGAATTCTTACCTTGTTTCATCAAACCGTTTATCAGGTTGTTTATGCAATTCTTTATAAAGTTCTCCTTTTGGTGCATACTCTAATATTAAATAAATTCGCTTGTCATCATAAAAATATCCATACATCCTCAAAATATTTGGATGTCTATCAAAAATAACAATGTTTATATATCAGACATGTAAACTCTTATTCTATACATAATTTATATTGCATACAATATGATTTTAATATATATAGCTAAGAAGAAATAAAATAGAAAAAAATCAGTACCTCAAATGAGTTTGGATTTCTATTTCTCTTCGTACTTGATGTAAAATTTGTGCATCTTCTACTTGTGTTCTATAAAGCACCTTCATGGCTATTATAAATTTGGATCTTTTTTCTCTGGCCAGATATACGTTACCAAATTTTCCTTTACCCAGGGGTCGGCCAATATCAAAATCTGTCAGTACCCATTTCTTTTGGCTTTGATCCTTTGACTCCTTACTTACACTCGTATCTGTAGTACCAGAAACTTTTTGATCCATTCCATTTTTGTTATCTCTTACTTCTTCCTTATTAGGTTTTTGCTGATCTTGAGTAGAATCTATTGATTTACATGCTACTGGTAATTTAGGTGGTGGCATTAATTCTAGAGATTTCTTTGCAGTCTCTTTACATTCATTTTCGTTTTTGGTATTTGTTGAGTAAACTTTACAAGCATTTTTATCATAATCATCAATAGTACTTTCCACATTTCTCGATTGAACGACATTCGTGGGAACTGTTTCGAAAATGTGCAAGCATTTTAAACTGTTAATAGTTTTCAATGCATACGTAGCTGACGACTGATGATGCGTTTTATCATTTTCCTTATCCATTCTAATACACAGTTAATTGACTTTTATTCTGTATATCCTGTAATTTGGATAATAAGTAGATAAGCAAATATGTCTTTTACGTACACGTGTATGTACACTTACTTTACACACATGAAAAGATTATATTACATTTTCAAAATTTACAAAAATATTTCTCTACATAAACACCAACATTTATATATATATATATATGAGTCGACAAGGCACACAGGGGATA